ATATTAGCCATCAGCAGCGAAAGACTTTAAACAGATGGATAAGCACTAGAGCCTCTTGCACTTTAATTTTACAATTACAGCTCAGCCTGATTAGCAAGAAGCCACAGTTCTCAGTACTTGAGTCCAGTGGTCTCTTGCCAGCTCATCAGTGGTATGTAATCCCTTCTGCTGGGCATGCAGTGGAGAATGCAGATCTCATTGGTTTTACTATCTCACATAGCTCCTGAGGGAAAGGCAAGGTAGAGATAAATTGTCGGCTGGTGAGTGTTTTGTCTGTGTCTCCTGGTCTGTGTTAATCAGTGCAATCACCCCGGAAGGCATCTTGGCTCTCAGACGTGGTGTTAATTGCTTGTTTGACTGACCCCTATTTTTTAAGTAAACTAGGAGTACACAATTTCAAACGTAGAGAACTGGTTTTAAACTGGTATTTACTCATTTTATATGAGTCCAAGACTCTCCACTGAAGGGATTTTCAGGAAGCCCTGCACATTATACCTTGGTATACCTTGGTACCAACTGGGGAAGTGAGATGTTGCCACCAGCTCTATTTACTGTTACAAAGAAGCATCCAGACCAGAAAAGGAGATTTGAGTTCCTGTAGAGGTGAATGAGGACATGGGAGTGTTCCAAGAACAAGAGGAATTTATGTGAGCCAGAAAGAACAGTTGGGGAAAAGAAATTCCAGTTGTTATGGGCTCCAAAGTACTGCCAAGGACCCCCAGAAGGCATTAAACTGCCCTTATAGCCAGGACAGACAGCCCTTCTGTCACTAAACCCGGGTCCTTGAAGTCTTTAATCAATAGAAATTGATAAGAGGCCAGAAGAGAAATCCAGGCAAGCCTTTACTGGGACTCGTGCCAGAGCATGAGGGAGTGAAAACAAGTAGCAGGTGCCCTTGCTTGCTCTCTGAGGAGGGCAAGCTGGTCCCTTAAATGGGGTGAGGGTGGGGGCGGATTGGTGGGTCAGGCTGGAGGGGCGGCTTAGGTGTCTGTAAACACCCTTGGGGGTGCTGTGTGCAGGGATTATGCTTTTGCTCCCGGTACCTCAGCAATGGCAGTTGGTTTGTGGTCTTCTTGTATCTTATAATTGCCCCCAACTGCAGTTATGTGTGCAGTTATTTTTAGTCCCTTATAGTTTCTTTGTATTCTGTCGCTAGAGATTCAAGCACTCCAGTAAATGGTGCCAGGTCCCAGCTTATCTCACTTCAATCCAATACTAGCCGTTAGAGAATTTTTTTTAATTGCAGTTGTTCTTTAATAGTATCACAGAAGGCAAAAACAAACAAAAGACAGCTATGATAGCCCCATATCTTATACACTGTTTAAAATGTTTCAGGGGTGTTTTTGTATGTAACCTATAGAAATGCTCTTCCTTCCCGCCCCTCCCACCGTGATCTCTCCTTATCTATCACGTCCCTACCATGGAAGACCTATAGCTCAGATGCCTGAACAAAGCTTCTCCCATCTGCCTCAGCGGGAAGTTTACCTCCCTACTGTGTCTACAACATTCATTCAACTCCTACCAGTTCCACCTACATAGTAGTTCTTGAATTTATGTCCTCCTCCACAGTCTACCTGAGCCCTGCACAATTTCAGGACCACTTTTTCTTTCCCTTGGATGATTTCTTAATGGCTTGTCCCTAAAATACATCATCCACACCCACAAGTCCTTGACAGAGCAGGAGAAATGTGGGGAGGAAGGAACAGGATGGAGTTCAAGTTCAAGGGTGGTGTGAGTGTCATCAAGGTCATGAGAGGCCAGCGAGGGCAGGAGCCTGAGTCAGAGGTGGGGACTGAGTCAGAGTTCAGAGGAGCAGCTTTGTGGGATGAGCCCAAGTGAGGTACTGAGGAGTGGCTGGTTGCATGGGAGGGAGGCGGAAGTGAGCAAAGTGGATGAGGACCAGCATGTGGATGAATGGGTTTTCCACATGGACATTGATGGAAGCGTAACAAAAGCTCTCAGGTTTTCTTATGTGCAAAAATTACTTGGTGTACTTGATAAATATACAGATTACCAGGCATAGCCCTCAGAGAGCCTAGTCAGTATATCTGGGATTGGGCCCAGGGATCTTCATTTTAACAAACACTCTAGGCAACTTTTATATAAATGGGACCTTGAGCATACTTTCAGAGACACTATCTGTTATGGGCTGAATTGTGTCCCCCCACCAAATCCCTATGTTGAAGTCATAACCCTCCAGTACCTCAGAATGTATTTGGAAGTAGGATCTTTAAAGAAGTAAATAAAGTAAAATGAGGTCGTATGTGTGGGCCCTAATCCAATATGATTGATGTCTTTATAAGAAGAGATTAGGACATAGACATGAGCACATGAGAAGATGGTCATTTTCAAGGCAAGGAGAGAGGTCTCAGGAGAAAGCCAACCTGCCAACACCTTGATCTTGGGCTTGTAGCCTCCAGAACTGTGAGAAAATAAATTTATGTTGTTTCAGCCTCCCAGTCTGTGGTATTTTGTTATGGCAATCCAAGCAGACTAGTTCACTGTCCTAGAACAATGGTAGGAGTTGAGGGGTCTAGAGAATGACCAGGGGGAACCTTGCAAAAGAGGAACATGTCCAGCGTGAACAGAAGATGGAAATGAGCTGGGGCAGAGGCCACATTGTGGGTGGTGTGAGCCTCAAGGCCAAAAGGGCAGTGGGAGTCAGGAGAATGCCCCTCCCGCTAGCCCCACAGTTGTGAGGACGGAAAACTGGGTTTTGGGGAGAGGGGAGCCATGCTTCAGTCAAGGTACTGAGGAGATGGAGGTAAAAGAACATCCTGGGCATTTAAGTAAAAATGGTAGCTTTCTCTCTGAAAAAAACTAAAACGATAGCATACAGGTATTTTAAAGATTTAACCAAACAAAAAATGTTCACCAATAAGGCTCAGGGAAAGGGATGAATATAGACAACAGCAACCAAATTTCAGAAGCTGGAGCACAGCTAGAAAAGTGTGCTTTTCACAGTGCCTTAGCACAGTGGGTCCTCACCAGGAGCATTGACAGCCCCTAGAAATCTGTTGGACAAATTCCTGAGCCCCCCAGCCCAGACCTACTGAATTAGAAAATCTGTGGGTGGGCCCCAACAATCTGTGTTTTAAGCCCTTCAGGTGACAATGCTGAAGTTTGAGGTCCCCTGACTTAACAAACCAGAGAGAACTGATCAGAGCTATCAGCTGTGAAATTTGAGAAGTAAGGTTGCAAAGTCTCAGGAATGACAGCACCAGGTAGCTTTAGAAAAAGGGAGTGAGGAGCTAAAATTATGAGAACTGGTTAGAAGGATTTAGAAAGCAGTTAGATCCCAAGACCATCTCCTCAATTTTTCATACCTGCAGGCTCAATTCTGGCACATAAAGAGGGCAGATCAGGTAACAGCGGGTGTGTTTCTGCCTTGGTGGGATACATGTCACATAGAGTCCTAATTGGGGGGTGGGCAGGAATCTTATGTTATTTATCATATTTACAGGGAGATGATAGCCTTGTTGCCAAAGAAAATACTGCTGAATGTGAAAAGGCAGAGTATAGTTTGCTGACCTAGGAGGCAGGAAATCTTGTTCTAGGTCTCACTCTGTCTCTAACTGTATAATCAGGGCAAGAACTTCCTCAGTTTCCTTATCTGCATCAATCTATTTTAAGGACCTTTGAACACAAATATTCCATAGTCCATTCTAATTAGTCCATTTTAATTAATTCCATAGTCCATTTTAATTAAAAATGAAGAAGAATCATAAAATAGTACTAATTGAAAAGCATTGCCTAATTAGACTAACAGGGTGAGCCCTTTTTAGATATTTGCTGCTTGGGGTTTCTATGTTTTTGTGTATTTAACTCTGTTCAAATTGTTTAAAATATATATATACAGAGCTTCTACTGGGTGTGCAAATGCCTGAGAAGTGACACTATCCAAATACTTAGAAGGGCTCCTGGAACTATGGATGACATGGTAATTCACTTTTTGTAATTTTGCAATGTTATTTTACTATTTAAAAAGAATTAAGCACAGCCACAAGGATAGAAAATAGGTTAATTATATTAAGTGCCAATTCTGATCAATTACTAATGTTTGCTTGCAGTGCTATATTGAGGGCTATGAAGCTCATTTCAGACTAAATGGGAGAGAATGCTGTGATTACTCAGTAATGTCTGCCAAGAGAAAAGGATAGGACATGTGCCGTGTATTTGCCAGCACTCTGGTGGTATAACCTAGAGGCAAAATGATCTCCTTTTCCCTCTTTGAATGTGGATGCTAGACTCCAGATTAAAAGCTCAGCTCTCGGGCTTCCCTGATGGCGCAGTGGTTGAGAATCTGCCTGCCAATGCAGGGGATACAGGTTCGAGCCTGGTCTGGGGAAGATCCCACATGCCACGGAGCAACTGGGCCCGTGAGCCACAACTACTGAGCCTGTGCGTCTGGAGCCTGTGCTCTGCAACAAGAGAGGCCGCGACAGTGAGAGGCCCGCGCACCGCGATGAAGAGTGGCCCCCACTTGCCACAACTAGAGAAAACCCTCGCACAGAAACGAAGACCCAACACAGCCAAAAATAAATAAATAAATTTATTTAAAAGCTCAGCTCTCTTCTACTAGCCGCAAAAAGAAATAGAGGATTCATAAGGGAGCAGTCAAGTGTGGCTATAAGAGCCCAGATCCAGCCTTCCTTTTTGAGGACCATCTTATGCATAATTTGAAGAGGATGTTTCCTTTAATTTCAGGGAGTGTGTGGAGAAATATTGTTCAGTATGGCTTCTTCTCATCCCCTCATAGCCAACCTGAAGACCCAGAAATCTCCCCATTCTCACCCATGCCCATCATAAAGCCTTAGCATCATGGAGATGGCTACTACAAGCTGGTCTTGAGTCTAGGACCTTCTAAACCCATTCCTCATTCAGAAGGAGCCTGATGATGCATAGTGGACAAGACTACCAGCTCATGGGCTAGACACCCATTGGCACACCAAGTAAGAGTTCCATTACCTCCCCCAGGATGAGAGCCAGTCCATACTTACTGCCCATTATCCTCCGTACTGTTGGACCCTCGGCAGTCATTTCCCTAACGATCTCATTGTCATCCTCATTGGCATCCAGCCAGCGATTGCAGTTGAAGTTATACTTGTCCTTGGTCAGGGTGTTCATCAGGGTCATCTGGAATGAAGTCCTGGAGTGAGCAAGTGGTGTACCAGAGATATTCATCCATGCCTTGAGGTTCCCGTTCTGCTAGTTCATGTCAAGGAGGACAAGGCCATCCCCTAGGGATGACTCTTGTGGAAGATGGAGTGCCATATTAATATTTATCCCTCTGGTCCCCTGGAGACCCACAGTTGCCTAGCAACCAGGTGATTAGGACACAGTGCAAGTCTGCTGAAACCTAAGCAACTTCTTAGTCTACTTTGGAAGTCCTGTCCCCGTCAGGAAGTCCATGTGTCATGTGTCCAAATTTAGGTCTCACTACAACCCTTCCCCACCCACACTCCCAACAGATAAAGGCAAACTAACAAGACAAGGTCATTAGAAAGCGACCATTTTGGTTCCTCTCCCAACCACCTTCTAACCCCCAAGATGGTACATCTCACCCTTTCTAAATGCCATCCAGAACCAGGACTCCTTTTATCATGCCATGCCCGAATCTTATAAAACCTGCCGAGGTCTGGGAGCTCAATCTATGGTGAGAAATAACAAGGCCTGAGTGGACAGAACCAAGTGAAATGTGTTTACCCTCATAGCTGACCCCCTGCCAGGAGGGTACGCACTTTGAGCTGTTTCTTCAGCATCAAGGGTGGGTTTGCTTCAAACCACCCTCATATATTCTATCTTCTTGTGCTCTTTTAACCAATGGCACATGAGGGAGAGACAGCCATGTAGAGCTAAGGTTCAATCTGGGCTGGTGAAACTGAACAAAAATAACTGACCCACAGTAGGATCCAGACTAAATAAAATCTTCCAAGCAATAAGCTTTCAATTACAAAATCCATATGGCAGCCCTGCAAATTAGCACAGGCCCACAGCCCCAGGACTCTGCTGGGCACTGAAACAGACAAAAAGATCAATACAGTGGTCATGCCCTTTCCCTAGGGGCTCAAAGTCTAGCCGGGAAGACAAATACATAAAGAGCAATGAACTGAAGGTATAATAGAAGCGCCAATGGGGTGCTCTGAGAAGAGAGCTGCAAATTACAAATTATTCTTACCTAAAGGTCAGAGCAGCACTTCCGTTTGCAAAACAAGCATTGCTCTGCTTATATACATACTGAAAATTTAAAGCTGAATTTCTTTTTAAATGTTCCAAAATGTATACTTTCCTTTAAATTTGCTCCTCACTCTAATTCAGTCCATCCACACTGGGCAGTTTGACACTAACTGTGCTCAGGGTCTCTGTTCTACAATGATTCCCCAAGTCACCAGGCTCCTGAATGTCCAAAGCCATTACATACTTGCTTCTTCTCCCATGCTTGGTTCTGGACTGTTTGATTCAGATGAAGGGCCAGGTCTAACCTGCACCCCATCAGTACATTGCCCGTACAGTAAATGTGGCATTCCTTGCAGGGGCCTAGGGTCTCTATTTTACCTTTTTGTCTTCAAACTTGATCCAAACCTGGCTTAGGAAACCAGAATCCCATGACAAATGCTTATTACAACCCTTTCTCTTTCTTCCCTCCCACTCTGTCACACTTCCTACCCTAAATTTCTCAATTATTCCGGGTTTGAACCACTTGTTGTTGGGATTCAGGAGAATCTCATCTGTCCGCCCCTTCTTCCCATAAATCTGGATGAAGATAGGAGAGTTGGTACCAGCTTTCTTCAAGTCGGTCGTCCAGACCCACAGGGACCATGGGAATTCTGCAGAGACAGGTCAAGTTGTACCATTAACTTCAAAAGTGAAGAGATTTTCAAGCTACCAGTGGGGAAGACAAGCAAATCAAAGGTGATCAGGACTGAAGTGCAGGTTGTATACAGGTGTGTCCTACTCTCAGAAACCCATTATAACAAATACTAAATTTGGGAAGCCAAGGATTCCTTGCTATTTGAGAGAGTGTGCCTTAATGTTCCTTTTAATGGTGAAAGTCTATTAGTATGTTTTAAATAGGGGGAATAGTTAGCTCCACCCACCCTATGGCCAGTACATTCAGAGTGCACTGTGTGCAACCATTCAGTTTAAGAACTAGCCCATCACAGCAGCTTAACGATTTGGGGCTGCTGGAGTATCAGCCTTGGTGCCATGTCTGTAATTCTGTGTGGTCTGTACCTTGGAGAACTGAGGTCCCTGGGGGACCCTTTCCCTTCCTTTCCAGAGGAGAATTGAGAAGGAGCGCCCAGTAGTTTGACAATCCTGGCCTTTGCTGGCTCTGGGCCCCTCCACCTACTTTTCAGCCTCTTCTTCCTGAGAGACACCATCTCGTAGAGCTGCCTCTCGATCAGCCCATCTGTCTTCTTCTCATCCAGCCAGCTGCTGCAAGGGAAGGTCTGCTGGATGCCAGTGAAGGGGCACAAAATCACCACCTGGGGGAGCAGATCATATCTCCTACAGTAGGTCCCCTGGCTGGGACTTCTTTGTAATGTTCAACAGCCTCCTTAGCCCCACATTTAGGGTTGTCTGCATTACTACCCTCAAAGAATGTCACTTTTCTTCCCACTGCCTATCTCATTAAATCTTAGATCAAGAAATAGCTCCTCTAAGAAATCTTCCCAAGTAGGTATCATCCATATTCCAATTTACCAGCCCAAACCTCAAACATTTTCTCTATACACATACCCTTTTTGAATACCATATTTCCTTATGCACATTGTAAAATCTCCATCTGAACCAAGTTAACTAGAATACTAAATTAATACCCTATATTTGTCTTGTGGAAAAAAGGTCAGTCACATAAAAGGTAATTAATATCTACAATTTAATACAAACACTAACTACCCTCTTCAGGACTTGATCCTTATTTAACCTTCTCTCCTACATCTTCTCCATCTCTACCCACATTCTGAACTTATGGGTTTAGAACATGGCATTCTGTCTAACCCAGACACACCTAGGTGTTTTGAAGAGAAGCATCAGAATGCCAAAGACAGAGATCTTAAGAGCATCAAGAGAGAAAAGACAGATGATGGCAATTGGACTAACAGAAGCCAGAGGATATTGGAGGGTGGGGGCATTATAACTCAATCTAGAATTCTGTATCCTGAAATTTCTTTCAAGAATGAAAATGAAATAAAATAATTTTCAAATTAACAAAAACAGAGTTTACCACCAATAGACCTTACTTAACCAAAGGAACTTCTAAAGCATAGTACTACAGGAGGAAGAAGAAAACTGACACCAGAAAGGAGGTATTAGATGCAAGAAGAATTGGCAAGCAAACATACTGGCAAACAGGTAGGTAAATCTGGACAAATATGACTCTACAAAACAACAGCATATAATATGTGAATTTAAAAATAATTCAAAGGAGAGCTAAAATACTCTACTTTCAAAATTGGCATGCAACCTAGATGCAGGGTTATTACCATTAGAAATTTCTAAGGTTCTTGATTTGTCTAAGAGGGAATTAGAGATGGTGGTTAAATTTAGGTCTTGTCACAGTAAGTATGTATGCTAAAATTTCAATAGTAACCACTAAAAAAACCAGAAAGAGAGTATAATTTCCAAATCACTATCAAGAAAATAAAACCCACAACCAATCAGTTAATCAAAAAAAAAGAAAAAAAGAAAAGAGAAAGACATAGTAAAAGCAGGACAAACAGACATGTTAATAGTTATAAAAAACATAAATGACTAAATTTCTCAGTTAAAAGCTAGAGAGTATCAGATAGGATTGTGATAAAGATTCAGTTAACCAGAAAGTTATACTAATTCTACACCTCACAACGTAGCCTAAAACTATATACAGCAAAAATTGTTAGTTCTACGGTAAGAAATTTAAATATCTACCACCGACATTGGAAATTTCAACACATCTTTCTTCGTAATTAATAGATCAAACAGACAAAATGCTATTAAGGAGATAGAAGATTCAAAAACAAAAGTAACAAACTGAATTTAATAAATAAAATCAAAATCTTAAATTCAACTCTTGGAACATGTACATAAATTGAAGCGCATTGTAAAGTAAATGTCAAAAAATTTTTAAATGGCATCCACCATTGAGAGGACCTTCAAGATGGCGGAGGAGTAAGACGTGGAGATCACCTTCCTCCCCACAAATACATCAAAAATACATCTAAATGTGCAACAACTCCTAAAGAACACCTACTGAACGCTGGCAGAAGACCTCAGACTTCCCCAAAGACAAGAAACTCCCCACGTAGCTGGGTAGGGAAAAAGAAAAAAGAAAAAACAGAGACAAAAAAATTGGGAGGGGACCTACACCTCTGGGAGGGAGCTGGGAAGGAGGAAAAGTTTCCACACACTAGGAAGCCCCTTCACTGGTGGAGACGGGAGTGGGCAGGGGGGAGCTTTGGAGCCGTGGAGGAGAGCGCAGCAATAGGGCTGCAGAGGGCAAAGCGGAGAGATTCCCGCACAGAGGATCGGTGCCGACCGGCGCTCACCAGCCTGAGAGGTTTGTCTGCTCACCCGCCAGGACAGGTGGGAGCTGGGAGCTGAGGCTCGGGCTTCGGAGGTCAGATCCCAGGGAGAGGACTGGGGTTGGCTGCGTGAACACAGCCGGAAGGTGGCTAGTGCACCACAGCTAGCCGGGAGGGAGTCCGGGAAAAAGTCTGGAACTGCCTAAGAGTCAAGAGACTGTTGTTTCGGGGTGCACGAGGAGAGGAGATTCAGAGCACTGCCTAAAAGAGCTTCAGAGACAGGTGTGAACCACGGCTATCAGCGCGGACACCAGAGACAGGCATAAAATGCTAAGGCTGCTGCTGCAGCCACCAAGAAGCCTGTGTGCAAGCACAGGTCACTCTCCACACCTCCCCTCCCGGGAGCCTGTGCAGCCCGCCACTGCCAGGGTCCCATGATCCAGGGACAACTTCCCCAGGAGAACACATGGCGCACCTCAGGCTGTTGCAATGTCACACTGGCCTCTGCCGCCGCAGGCTCGTGCCGCATTCTGTACCCCTCTCTCCCCCGGCCTGGGTGAGTCAGAGTCCCCTAATCAGCCCTCCTTTAACCCCCTCCTGTGTGGGTGAAGAACAGATGTCAGCATGCGACCTACATGCAGAGGCAGGGCCAAATCCAAAGCTGAAACCCAGGAGCTGTGCGGACAAAGAAGAGAAAGGGAAATTTCTCTGTGCAGCCTCAGGAGCAGCAGATTAAATCTTCACAATCAATTGATGTACCCTGCATCTGTGCAATACCTGATTAGACAATGAATCATCCCAAAATTGAGGTGGTGGACTTTGGGAGCAACTGTAGACTTTGGGTTTGCTGTATGCGACTGGCTAGTTTCTGATTTTTATGTTTAACTTAGTATGGTTTTTAGCGCTTGTTATCATTGGTGGATTTGTTTATTAGTTTGGTTGCTCTCTTCTTTTTAAAAAAAAATGTTTATTTTAATTATTTCTTATTTTAAAAACTTTATTTATTTTATTTTATTTTTCTTTCCTTCTTTTTTTTCTCCCTTTTCTTCTGAGCTGTGTGGCTGACAGGGTTTTGGTGCTCTGGCTGGGTGTCAGGCCTGTGCTGCTGAGGTGGGAGAGCCGAGTTCAGGAAATTGGACCACCAGAGACCTCCCAGCCCCATGTAATATCAATCGGCAGGAGTCCACCCAGAGATCTCCATCTCAACGTGAAGACCCAGCTCCACTCAATGACCAGCAAGCTCCAGTGCTGGACACCCCATGCCAAACAACTGGAAAGACAGGAACACAACCCCACCCATTAGCAGAGAGGCTGCCAAAAATCATAATAAGGTCACAGACATCCCAAAACACACCACTGGACATGGTCCTGCCCACCAGAAAGACAAGATCCAGCCTCATCCACCAGAACACAGGCAACCAGTCCCCTCCACAAGGAAGCCTACACAACCCACTGAACCAAACTTACCCACTGGGGACAGGCACAAAAAACAGTGGGAATTACGAACTTGCAGGCTGCAAAAAGGAGACCCCAAACACAATAAGTTAAGCAAAATGAAAAGACAGAGAACTACCCAGCAGATGAAGGAGCAAGGTAAAAACCCACCAGGCCAAACAAATGAAGAAGAAATAGGCAGTCTACCCGAAAAAGAATTCAGAGTAATAATAGTAAAGATGATCCAAAATCTTGGAAATAGAATGGAGAAAATACAAGAAACATTTAACAAGGACCTAGAAGAACTAAAGAGCAAACAAACAGAGAGGAACAACACGATAAATGAAATTAAAAGTTCTCTAGGGGCTTCCCTGGTGGCGCAGTGGTTGAGAGTCCGCCTGCTGGTGCAGGGGACGCGGGTTCGTGCCCCGGTCGGGAAAGATCCCACATGCCGCACAGCAGCTAGGCCCATGAGCCATGGCAGCTGAGCCTGTGCGTCCGGAGCCTGTGCTCTGCAGCGGGAGAGGCCACAACAGTGAGAAGCCCGTGTACCGCAAAAAAAATTAAAAAATAAAAAAGTTCTCTAGAAGGAATCAATAGCAGAATAACTGAGGCGGAAGAACGGATATGTGACCTAGAAGATAAAATAGTGGAAATAACTACCACAGAGCAGAATAAAGAAAAAAGAATGAAAAGAATTGAGGACAGTCTCAGAGACTTCTGGGACAACATTAAATGCCCCAATATTTGAATTATAGGGATCCTAGAAGAAGAGAAAAAGAAAGGGACTGCTAAAATATTTGAAGAGATTATAGTTGAAAACTTCCCTAATATGGGAAAGGAAATAGTCAATCAAGTCCAGGAAGTGCAGAGAGTCCCACACAGGATAAATCCAAGAAGAAACACGCCAAGAAACATTAATCAAACTATCAAAAATTAAATACAAAGAAAACATATTAAAAGCAGCAAGGGAAAAGTAACAAATAACATACAAGGGAATCCCCATAAGGTTAACAGCTGATCTTTCAGCAGAAACTCTACAAGCCAGAAGTGAGTGGCGGGACATACTTAAAGTGATGAAAGGGAAAAACTTACAACCAAGATTACTCTACCCAGCAAGGATCTCATACAGATTCAATGGAGAAATTTAAACTTTCACAGACAAGAAAAAGTTAAGAGAATTCAGCACCACCAAACCAGGTTTACAACAAATGCTAAAGGAACTTCTCTAGGCAGGAAACACAAGAGAAGGAAAAGACCTACAATAACAAACCCAAAACAATTAAGAAAATGGTAATAGGAACATACATATCGATAACTACCTTAAATGTACATGGATTAAATGCTCCAACCAAAAGACATAGACTGGCTGAATGGATACAAAAACAGGACCTATATATATGCTGTCTACAAGAGACCCATTTCAGACATAGGGACACATACAGACTGCAAGTGAGGGGATGGAAAAACGTATTCCATGCAAATGGAAATCAAAAGAAAACTGGAGTAGTAATTCTCATATCAGACAAAATAGACTTTAAAATAAAGACTATTACAAGAGACAAAGAAGGACACTACATAATGATCAAGGGATCAATCCAAGAAGAAGATATAGGAATTGTAAATATTTATGCACCCAACGTAGGAGTACCCCAATACAAAAGGAAAATGCTAACAGCCATAAAAGGGGAAATTGACAGTAACATAATCATAGTAGGGGACTTTAATAACACCCCACTTTCACCAATGGACAGATCATATAAAATGAAAATAAATAAGGAAACACAAGCTTTAAATGACACATTAAACAAGATGGACCTAACTGATATTTTTAGGACATTCCATCCAAAAACAACAGAATACACTTTCTTCTCAAGTGTGCACGGAACATTCTCCAGGATAGATCACACCTTGGGTCACAAATCAAGCCTTGGTAAATTTAAGAAAATTGAAATCATATCAAGTATCTTTTCCAACAACGATGAGACTAGATATCAATTACATGAAAAAACTATAAAATATACAAACACATGGAGGCTAAACAATATGCTACTAAATAACCAAGAGATCACTGAAGAAATCAAAGAGGAAATCAAAAAATACCTAGAAACAAATGACAATGAAAACACAATGACCCAAAACGTATGGGTTGTAGCAAAAGCAGTTCTAAGAGGGAAGTTTATAGCAATACAATCCTACCTCAAGAAACAAGACACATCTCAAATAAACAACCTAACTTACCCCTAAAGCAATTAGAGAAAGAAGAACAAAAACCCCTCAAATTTAGCAGGACAGAAATCATAAAGATCAGATCAGAAATAAAGGAAAAAGAAAAGAATGAAAGAATAGCAAAGATCAATAAAACTAAAAGTTGGTTCTTTGAGAAGATAAACAAAATTGATAACCCATTAGCCAGACTCATCAAGAAAAAAAGGGAGAAGGCTCAAATCAATAGAATTAGAAATGAAAGAGGAGAAGTAACAACTGACACTGCAGAAATACAAAGGATCATGAGAGATTACTACAAGCAACTATATGCCAATAAAATAGACAACCTGAAAGAAATGGACAAATTCTTAGAAAGGCACAACCTTCTGAGACTGAACCAGGATGAAATAGAAAACATAAACAGACCAATCACAAGCACTGAAATTGAAACTGTGATTAAAAATCTTCCAACAAACAAAAGCCCAGGACCAGATGGCTTCACAGGCGAATTCTATCAAACATTTAGAGAAGAGCAAACACCTATCCTTCTCAAACTCTTCCAAAATATAGCAGAGGGAGGAACATTCTACGAGGCCACCATCACTGTGATACCAAAGCCAGACAAAGATGTCACAAAAAAAGAAAACTACAGGTCAATATCACTGATGAATATAGATGCAAAAATCCTCAACAAAATACTATCAAATAGAAGCCAACTGCACATTAAAAGGATCATACACCATGATCAAGTGGGATTTATCCCAGGAATTGAAGGATTAGTCAACATATGCAAATTAATAAATGTGATACACCATATTAACAAATTGAAGGATAAAAACCATATGATCATCTCAATAGATGCAGAAAAAGTTTTTGACAAAATTCAACACCCACTTATGATAAAAACTCTCCAGAAAGTGGGCGTAGAGGGAACCTACTTCAACGTAATAAAGGCCATATATGACAAACCCACAGCAAACATCATTCTCAATGGTGAAAAGCTGAAAGCATTTCCTCTAGGATCCGGAACAAGACAAGGATGTCCACTCCCACCACTATTATTCAACATAGTTTTGGAAGACCTAGCCATGGCACTCAGAGAAGAAAAAGAAATAAAAGAATACAAATTGGAAAAGAAGAAGTAAAACTGTCACTGTTTGCAGATGACGTGATACTATACATAGAGAATCCAAAAGATGCTACCAGAAAACTACTAGAGCTAATCAATGAATTTGGTTAAGTAGCAGGATACGAAGTTAATGCACAGAAATCTCTTGTATTTCTGTACACTAATGATGGAAAATCTGAAAGAGAAATTATGGAAACACTCCCATTTACCACTGCAACAAAAAGAATAAAATACCTAGGAATAAACCTACCTAGGGAAACAAAAACCTGTATGCAGAAAACTATAAGACACTGATGAAAGAAATTAAAGATGATACCAACAGATGGAGAGATATACCATGTTCTTGGATTGGAATAATCAATATTGTGAAAATGACTATACTATCCAAAGTAATCTACAGATTCAATGTAATCCCTATCAAATTACCAATGGCATTTTTTACGGAGCTAGAACAAATCATCTTCAAATTTGTATGGAGACACAAAAGACCCCAAATAGCCAAAGCAGTCTTGAGGGAAAAAAACGAAACTGGAGGAATCAGACTCCCTGACTTCAGACTATACTACAAAGCTACAGTAATCAAAACAATATGGTATTGGCACAAAAGCAGAAACATAGATCAATGGAACAAGAGAGAAAGCCCGGAGATAAACCCACGCACCTATGGTCAACTAATCTATGAGAAAGGAGGCAAAGATATACAATGGAGAAAAGACAGTATCTTCAATAAGTGGTGCTGGGAAAACTGGACAGCTACATGTAAAAGAATGAAATTAGAACACTCCCTAACACCATACACAAAAATAAACTCAAAATGGATTCGAGACCTAAATGTAAGGCCGGACACTATAAAACTCTTAGAGAAAAACATAGGAAAAACACTGTTTGACATAAATCACAGCAAGATCTTTTTTGATCCACCTCCTAGAGTAATGGAAATAAAAACAAAAATAAACAAATGGGACCTAATGAAAGTTCAAAGCCTTTGCACAGCAAAGGAAACCATAAACAAGACGAAAAGACAACCCTCAGAATGGGAGAAAATATTTGCAAACGAATCAACGGACAAAGGATTAATCCTCAAAATATATAAACAGTTCATGCAGCTCAATATTAAAGAAACAAACAACCCAATCCAAAAATGGGCAGAAGACCTAAATAGACATTTCTCCAAAGAAGACATACAGATGGCCAAGAAGCACATGAAAAGCTGCTCAACATCACTAATTATTAGAGAAATGCAAATCAAAACTACAATGAGGTATCACCCCACACCAGTTAGAATGGGCATCATCAGAAAATCTACAAACAACAAATGCTGGAGAGGGTGTGGAGAAAAGGGTACCCTCTTGCACTGTTGGTGGGAATGTAAATTGATACAGCCATTATGGAGAACAGTATGGAGGGTCCTTAAAAAACTAAAAATAGAACTACCATATGATCCAGCAATCCCACTACTGGGCATATTCCCCAAGAAAACTATAACTCAAAAAGACACATGCACCCCAATTTTCGTTGCAGTACTATTTACGATAGCCAGGTCATGGACGCAACCTAAATGCCCAATGACAGATGAATGGATAAAGAAGATGCAGTACATATATACAATGGAATACTACCCAGCCATTAAAAGGAAGGAAATTGAGTAATTTGTTGAGACGTGGATGGATCTAGAGACTGTCATACAGAGTGAAGTAAGTCAGAAAGAGAAAAACAAATATCATTTATTAACGCATGTATGTGGAACCTAGAAAAATGGTACAGATGAACCGGTTTGCAGGGCAGGAGTTGAGACCCAGATGTAGAGAACAAACGTATGGACACCAAGCGGGGAAAACTTCAGTGGGGTGGGGATGGTGGTGTGCTGAATTGAGCGATTGGGACTGACATGTATACACTGATGTGTATAAAGTTGATGACTAATAAGAACCTGCAGTATAAAAAAACAAACAAACAAAAGCACCTCATACTAAACTTTCTTTGGGTTATTTGTATGGAAATATGTTAACATAAATGTTTCAGACATTACATGAAATTTCTAAAAATCTTATATGTTCTGGTATAATGTTATAAGTCATAATTCTAGTTATTACTTTAAAAAGTATATCTCAGAAATAACTAAATTTCCTTGTCAATTGCATTATTATGAACTTTCATCAAATCTTTAACCGTGGTCATTTTTAAGTCTTTTGTCATTTACAGACAATTCTGTGTGTACTCTGATGTTTTTGCAAAAATGTTCCTCTAGGAGGGTTTCATCTTTAAGGAATTCATGGAAAAGACTCTGACAAGCACAGGTTTCTGGTAACTGACTATACTGCTGAAGTGAATGAATAAGCATTTTCAGAACTCTAATGGAAAACTGATGAATTCATAAAAGTGCTAACAAAAGATCAGGATGAAAAAGAATTAATTGCATGGGACTGGGTGAACTGATGAGGATGATTATAATTTTTGTGACTTTCTGTTTGAATAAAAAAAAAAAAATGGCCCCGTGAGAGGGATTTCTCATGTACTTTGTAACTGGTGCAAAGGAAGTAGGAAGTAGGATGCAGATTAGAGTTTGTATCTGCAAGTTAAAGAGAAGGGTTGAATCAGGGCAGGGTCCTCCCTGGCCTCCCTTACCTTCTCACAGTACCAGCCTCTGTTGGCTCCCACATTGCCATGTCCGATGGAGACCCGGCTCAATGGGCTGAGGAGGACAGCCAGCTCGATGTTGAAGATGTCTCTGCGGCCACGGTCAAACACACCGCCCTCCAGGAAGATTTTCCCACTGTTCTTATTCCCTCTGGCCCCGAACATGACCAGGTAGATTTTGGATTTGGTCCCAGCACCCCGGACATCCCCAGTGAAGACGGTGACAATATATGAGATGGCTGGTATGGAAACAACAGGGGGAAGGAGAGGGTTCAGTGCAAGCTGACAACAATATCCTACCCACCTTCTCCGCCACCTGACCACACCTCCCTAGGCCCTCCCTCTGCTGTACATCCCCGTCCCCCTAAGTCCTCCTCCCCCAGACGATATCCAGTGCACCTTTCCACTTCACTTTATCTTTTTTGGAGTTGGTGTGTCAGTGCATCTGAGTTTAGGAACAAACTGCAAGTTACAGGAAGCTGCCAGCCCCCATTACAGGAAACTAACAAAGAGAAGGAAGAGCTTGGGTTGGTTAAGAATAGTCCTTATTATTAATGCTAATTACCATGTGCATATTATTAATAGCTGCCAGATGAATTCTATTATGTCTCATTTAATTAGAATAGTCAACTCGATTAAGAGAGATTTATATTCAGGACTATCTGTTTCATGGAACTTGCTCTTTTGCACATAACTTAAAAACATAACTCTTAATAAAGGGCACTAATGTCCTCCTTTACCACCTGAGGTGGTGGGATGTGGAAGATTGAGGGAGGGAGAGGACATTGTGGGTTGGGCCATTTGGGGTATTGGTCAGTCAGAAGGCAATGTGAGGACATGGAGTTCTGGGGAAGAGCCAGCAAGAGGAGATTAAACTCTGAGATGAGACAGACTAAAGGAAAACACCAAAGACAAACATTTGAACAGGAAACTATAGGAAATTCTGCTAAGGTGTGGTCTGCCTTTTTTCACACTGTCCCAGAGTCTAAGGCAAGTGGTACTCTAAGCCTTGTTAGTCCCCCCACCTCCCTTTCATCCTACCCCCATCCCCTGATCTCAGAGAAACTAAATGTCTTTGGGAGATAGCACACGCAACTACATGGACGCATTATTCATTCATACATTCGCACTTTCCCTTGCTCAGCAAACATTTACCGAGTGCTTACTCTATGACAGGCCTTGGGAGACTATGAAGATAAAAAGGAATAGCCACTGCCCTCAAAGAGTGGGTGTCCAGCTTTACTTCACAACACATGGACAGATGGTGTTCTCACACTAGACATACTGTCATAGCCTAGGTTGTCAGCAATCCCAGCCTCTCACTGTCACTTCTCCTCATCTACCACTGGAAGCAAGTAACAGTAACACAGTTAAAGGGGGCATATTAAATCTGCTCTAGTGGATGTTTTAAGTAAATAATTTTCAAACTATAGAATACAAAGTCGTGACACACCCAACAACGTGGCACCCCTCACCCAGGCCAAGGCGCCATAATGCCATGGTTGAAAAGCACTGGAGCAGAGGAGCATTTGGTTTCCTAAACAATAGCAGTCACGTTCTTCCCAAAATGTCTGGAGCAAGAGAAGGGAGAGATGGCCCTGTCTAGAGGGGGTAGGGGAAGTTTCAGAGGAAGTGACCGGAAGCAGGAATTTGAGAAGCAGAAAGAAGAGAAATGGCGTCACAGGCTGAGGAGAAAGCATATTCCGAAGAGAAAGGAAGAGAAAGAGTAAGGCCAGCAGCTAAGGGGAGGGGAGAGGGAAGGCATGTGGGTGAGGTGGGGGGAACAGGGAGAGGGGGTAGGTGTGGGAAAGAGAGAAAGGTGTGCAGATCGGGGGAGGGAGAGGGGGTGTGCGTGGAAGCCGTAGTAGAAGGTGTTGAAAGATGCTGCTGAAATGGTCAACTGGAGCCCAATCGTGGAGCAAGTTTATCTTACACCCCAGAACTTGGACTCATCCTCTCTGCAGTGGGAGCCATGGGAGGGTCTGTCCCAGAGCATGTTCTCAGCTGTGCGCGTTCACCAACATTGATATTCTGGAACACGTATGAACTTCCATGCTGGGAGCTTCAGGTCTTCCATGGAACTCACACAGGGTAGAGATTTAGGACGCAGACCAAATCCTGGATTTGTCACTTATCAGCTGTGTGACCTTCAACAGGTCTCTTAACTTGTGACTCAATTTCCTCTACTATGAAATGGGAACAGTAACCGTTCCCATACTATAGGGTTGTTGTGAGTATTAGAGGAGATGACATGAGTCAGGTGCCTAGAGAGAGTCTGCCATATAGGAAACGCTCAATAGTAGGAGGAGGTAAGAGTCAGTCAACATCCTCATAAATATCCACATGGGTCGGGAGTTCACATCCTGGCTCCATCCTGTGCATAACTTCTCTTGCCCTGGGAAGTCAGTGTCTGCTCAGGGGCGCCTTCTCATCACCTCTGGTATCAGCAGAGCCCCAGACTCCAGCCCGGGGGGACAGAACACTTTCAGGGGCAGCAGG